ATTGCCTCACCCTGTGTCCCTGTTCAGCATGGAAGAAGCCAGAGCAGTCTGTTCTCGCATTCCCTATCTGCAATTTGGGTAACCTCTTCAGAGGATGGCATGATAAGAATAGGAGGTAGAAATTGGCTAGGCAATTAGGGTAAAAAGACGCCAAAGAAAAGTAGCCAATTTCTTGGCTAAAACTCACAATGTCCCTGGGCCTCTTAGCAACATACTCTGTTCCAAAGGCCAAAAATGTCAAAAGTGTTTGGGAGCTTATATCTAATCCTTAAAAGATTCTAGAGTTACCTCTTCAGAGGGCGGAATGTTAGGATAGCCAAAAGCCCCATAAAAATAAATAAATAAATCAAAGAAGAAAAAAAGAGTACATGAAGTTATCAGAAAAAAAGTGATGGGGAGATATGGGAGGAGCTGGAGGGGAGAGAGTGGGCATGGATTTGATCAAAACACCTTATATGCATGTATGAAATTCTCAATAAATTATTTATTTAAAAAATACATCATCCTACCTAGGCAGTCATGAAACCAAAATATTAAATCAGCGATAATAATCATGCTGTCATTGATATGAAGTAGTCCAGGAAGATGGAGTAACAGCTGGTTCCCTGAACTATCATGTGGTGCTACCCTCTTATGATGCCTCCTAACAAGATCACACTATGTTACCTTCAGTTTGAACAAGGTAGACATATTTCACCTGAAGCTAAGCCCCTGACATCCTTTTCTAAGGCTTTATTTTAAGATATCTTGCAAATGTAAATCATATCTCTACCCCCTTTGAAATGTTAATTTTCTCATAGCCTCTTGGCAGGTGTACAGTCCTAAAATATCTTCATCAGGGATCTCAGAGTCAGCCTTATTAAATGCAATCAGGTAAAACAGCAAGTCTCCATCCATGCTACACAATAGGCCCTGACTTCAGTAACCACCAGTTAGTCAACACAGAGGAAGATCTCTTCCCCAAGGCTTCCTTTTCCTTTTCTACTAGCTTGTCCCACTGATTAGAAAACTCCTGATTTTTGTTTCAGTGAAGATTCAAATTCTCTACCCTGGTGCAACAGTTAGAAATAAAATATTTCTTAAGAAAAAAAAAAAAAAAGAGCTCTGGTTATTCTTGCAGAAGACCCAAGTTCGAATCCCAACACCCACATGGCAGCTAACAACTGTCTGTAACCCCAGTTCCAAGGGATCCAACGGCCTCTTCTGTCCTCTCCGGGCATTGCACGACACGGGTGCACTTACCTACATGCAGGCAATACACTCATACACATAAAATAAAAATAATAAATAAAAAAATGATAGATTGACTCAATAGTGATAATAATTTAGATGTTTATTCATTCAGTTACCTAGGAGCTATTTACTACACCCCCTCCCCCGTGTACTAAATGTGATAAATGACTGAAGAAACTCATAGAAAAGTAATGCCTCTGGACTTGGTGGCTCATGCCTTTAAACCCAGCACTCAGGAGTCAGAGGCAGATGGATCTCTCTGAGTTCGACCAACCAGGGCTACATAGTGAGACCCTGTCTTAAAAAAACAAAGAGTAATCCCTGACTTCGTGAGCCTGGCTGACATTAGAATAAAATTCCACCAACAAGTTGCATATTAATGTGAATCGCTTCTCCTTTAAGGTGTGCGGGGAGCCAGGAAACTTGTCATGCAGTCTCTCGCCATGTGGGGGCGCTCTCTGCACAGGCCCGGAAGGGCACAGACGGTGTGGTGGTCCCAGCTGTCATGGCGCTCTGACCCTCTCAACTAAGGCCTTCCAGAAAGCCCGGGAAGCAGAGTCTATGACTCATAATTTGGACAGTCAGGTTCAAGGGATGAAGAATCAGGTAAATCATCTTTTGCTTGATTTGCAAAGGCCTAACAGAAAGGAAGCAAACTAGGGGGGAAAAATTAAGATTGATTTATTTTTATTTTATGTGTATGAGTGTTTTGTCTTCATGTATGTAAGTGCACCACAGGAACATGTGTCCACGGATGCCAGAACAGGGAGGCAATTGCAAACAGTTGTGAGCTGCCATGTGGTTGCTAGAAACCCAACCCCTGTCCTCTGGAAGAATAAGATGTACTTTTAACTGCTGAACCATCTCTTCAGCCCCTGAAAAAATATTAAAGTGCCATTTAACTGGAAATCAAGAGAGAATAAATTCTAGAAGTCCTAGCAACTGCAAAATAAGTTATTCTAAAGATTAAAATATAGATATGAATGTGGATTTTCAAAGTAGGTAGGAATACTGGGTGGATACATATGCACATATGCATTTGAAGAGAAAGAAAAGAAAAAAGAACTCAAAATGCCATAGGTCATAGACTTGTGTAGACACGTTTTCCTTTTTTTTTGGACATGTTTTACTTTAAAGAGCAAATACCTCTTAGAAATGTCAAGATAAAGAAATGTCAAGATACAGCCTTGAAGTTTTTAAGACTATAGATGTCTCAAAGCAAAAAATATTTTTTTATAAATTCAAAGATATATCTGAAATTTGACTAAATATGCAAATTTACTCTCAGAAAGTAATATTGGAAAACAATTCATAGGAATATACTCTGTGATGATGGATGTGATAAAGGTGTGTGTGTGCAGGCCAGATGTCAGTCCTGCATGTTGTTACTCAGAGCAGGTGTTGACATTGTTTTCTGAGACAGGGCCTCTCATTGATTGACCTGTAGCTTGCCAATTAGGCTAGGCTGGCTGGCTAGAGACCCCCAGGGATCCTCCTGTCTCCATCTCTCCAGAACTAAGATTATAAATGCGTGCTGCCATGCCCAGCTTTTTACATGGGTGCTGGGACCTCATGTTTGCATGGCAAGCACTTTATACGGGGAGCTAACTCACCAGTACAACATGCTTTTTTTTTTTTTAACATTTAAGTACTTGATAATTGAATCTGTAATCATTTGAAATTATTCTTTGTACTTTTCTGGTTATAATCATAAATGAGCACCTAGCTTTCTTTAGAGTTTTTGACTTGGATTTATAGTGCTGGGATCAAGTCTAGGGCTTCATAGAGACTGGGCAAGTGCTCTGCTACTGAGCTACACCTTCATTCCTACTTTAGGCTCTTCAACAGCCACTATATTCTTTGGTTTTGAAAACATGACATACTCCTTCCCCAACACTATACTTAAGAGTCCTTAACGAAAAATGAAAAGACATTAAGGGTTGAGTATTCAACATACATTGAAAAAAGTCTCAAGCAACAGTTGATTAAAAGAAAAAAATTGAGAGGCTAGAGAGATGGCTCAGCAGTTAAGAGCACTGGCTGCTCTTACAGAGGACCAGGTTCAGTTCCCAGCACCCATATGGCTGCTAACAACCATCTGTAACTCCAATTCCAGGGGATCTGACTGCTTCTTCTGATCTCTGCCAGTGTTGCACAACACAGGTGCACTTATATACATGTAGGTAATACACTCATACACATAAAATTTGAAAATATAATAAATAAAATATTTTTTTAAAGAAAGAAAAAATGGAAGCAGTAGAAACCAACTGCCTAACAAAAGGGAAATGTGTGCAAGGACCTCTGAATCATTGTACTAAGAGATAGAAGGCCAAGTCTAAAAATGGGGCAAGAACCACGGTGAGATACACACACACACACACACACACACACACACACTACTTTCTAGTCCATTTACTGGATCAAGTACCTGCTGAGCCATGCTAGAAAATATCTTACTCATACTAATTGTTAAAAGTTTTTATTTGTTAGCCAGGCGTGGTGGCACACACCTTTAATCCCAGCACTTGGGAAGCAGAGGCAGGCGGATCTCTGTGAATTCAAGGTCAGCCTAGTCTACATAGTGAGTTCCAGGACAGCTGGGGCTACAGAGAGACCCTGTCTCAAAAAGACCAAAAAAGAAAAAAAAAAGTTTTTATTTGTAAGATCACAGTTCTATATTGCTTCCTAGCGTGTCTCCTTGAATGTGATTCTTCTTTGCCTTCTAAACTGTGCATGCAACACCTACTGTTTGCCAGACAGATCTAGAAGATCAAAATACAGCAGCAATCTTAGCTGTGCAAATACTCATCTTACATGTAGATGTTTTAGATGTCATTTTAAACCATTTTATTTTTCTTCCTCAAAAAAAATAAAAAGACCTCACACCATTGAAATTAGCCCTGATTGCTGTTTGGTTTTTTATTATTAAGTTAATCAAAATGTTAAAACTGTCAGTGTTAAAAGATAACTACTGACTTCCATATTAACAGAATCTGGTTTAATCAGCTTGTAAGTGGGAAGCTGGACAAGGATGAGCAAGGGATCGCCCTGTTGACAAAATGATGTGCCATTTTCTTTCTGATTAGAAGCTGGAAAAATGCCAGAGGAGACTGTAGAGGAGCTCAGGAATCAGTTGTGACAGGGGATGGAGTGCAGAAATGTTTACAGAGTGAAAGAGTGAAGTAATCCAGCAGCTCGCTCTCTCTCTCACTCTCTCTCTCTCTCTCTCTCTCTCTCTCTCTATATGACTTCAACCTAAATCCTTTTTTCACAAAATCTGTGTAGCTCAAAACAAGGAGGTCACTGTTGTGAGGAAGTAAAAAGAAATCTCTCTCCCCATTATATTTTATCTTAATTAGCCCTATTTCTGTCACAATTAATTTATTCAATCAAGCTCAACTTGTTGGCGATGTTGTCCTACTGCTTTTCGCTTTTTCTTCCTCTCTCTAATTTGCTGGGATCTCATGGAAAAAGCCCATGACCTTTCTCAAAGCACATAATTAAGGCTCTGCTCTTCCAGTGGCTGTTATCAGTTCCACCATCCGTCCACCGAGGACACCGTTGGGGGTTGATCTCTGCAGCCTGCTCTCCAGGTTGGCTCATTTATTGAAGGAGGAATGCTTCTTGACAGCTTTTAAAGAAAGCACATTGCTTGAATTTGAGGAATGCTTAGTAGTAACTATTTATCTTGTACAAAAGAAATGATTTTCAACCTGTTAAAAATGGTGACTACTGAAGATAAGTCATCCTAAGCAATTCACACGAGTTATTGATGCTAAAGTCTCATTAAAACAAAATTTGTGTTTTTGGTTTTTATTAGGAAAATTCATGTGTACTAAGTAAAAACTGTTTTTAAGTAACAATTTTGATTGTTAACAATGTTTTGTAAGGTCAATTTATGTCAAGAAATATGTTAATGAAACAACTTAATAATCACCTTTTAAAGGAACCAATGCATTAGTTGTCTAGGCTTCTGTATAGTGTTTAGTGATTGTTGTATCTGGATGAGCTAAGTAAATAATTATCACTGAGCCTGATTAACTTTTCTATTTTCCTTGTTTTGTTTTTCCAGATCAGAAATTTTAGTAAACTGGCAGAATTCTTCAAAAACAACACCTTACAGCTAAGTGACAAACTGGAGGACAGGAGAAACCAAAGTGAATTTGAGGAAGGAAAAATGAATCTTTTAATCAAAAGAGTGAACAACTTTGTGCTAGGTAAATTTTTTTTTTTTTTTTTTTTTTTTTTGGTCTTCTTGAGACAGGGTCTCCCTGTATATAGCCCTGGCCTGGAACTCACTATGTAGACTAGGCTGGCCTTGATGGCCTTGAACTCACAGAGATCCTCTGCCTCTGCCTCCCAAGTGCAGGGATTAAAGGCATGCATCAATACCTGGCCCATGTTAGCTAACTTTTTAATACAAGGATGACTTTTTTTCTTTTCTTTTAAAAATACTAAAAATTCATAACCATTCCAAATTGTAATAATTAAAAATTACACACCTAAATCAGAAAAAAGGCAGACCTTCCATTTTTAAGTTCTTAATGAGGGCAATCTCAAAATACTAGCTGTGCCAAAAACTATGGCTTTCTATATAAGATTTAGTAATAAATCCTATAATTCAGTTAAAATCTAAAATAAATGAACTTGTTTAAAGTTACTTTTTAGAGGGATTCCAGCATGCTAACCAGGATTCACTCATCTTCTTTGCTGACAAGGATCAGCAAAGATGTAAGAGCAACATTATTTGTTCAAAGGCAAATTTATCAATGAATTAGCCTGAAGGACTAAGGTTAACTAGACCCAGATTCCACAACTGTTTGGATTGAGACATACTTCAGTAATTTCTACAGATGCAAGTTTGTTCAGGCACCAAAACAAAAAATCAGAATTGTAGAACTCATTGCATGAAACTGGTAGCATATGGGGGCTGCATAGCCTGCTTCCCTCTGAATTCACTGCTCATGGGGCCTATGTCCTTACCAGTCCTGAGTAAAAAGTCCAACTGAATGACCCAGAAGAATTGAAATAAGTCTCTGTCCTGATTATTGTAGTTCAGGCACAGAGAACTATTATTAAAACTAGGCATAGAAGGTAAAGCCCTTTTCATATAAGAAAATCCCTTATTTTCAAAGTCCCAAAAGCACTAGTGACCAGGCGCCTTCTGGCCTTACAGTGTGTCTTGTCTACTTGTTGCTTTTCTTTTTCTGGCTCTAATTGGCCCAGATGAACTGATTACTCAATTGGATGTGCTCCTCTTTAACCATCTCGATGTTTATCTTGAAATCTGAATCTTACTAATAAAGTCATATGTTGCCTGTCCCTGAAAGTTCCATATATGAAAATTTGAATCTCTGATTCCACAATAAATGCCAAAAAAGTTTGGTAGAGTTATTAGATTAAGTTCATTGTTCACTAGAATTTAATTAGAAAGATTACTGTTTCTTTAAAGTGCTATTTAAAATGTGGTTTTAATTTATTTACAAGAGTTGCTATTGTTTGTTTCAAAAACATTAGAGAGTAAAATATTGCTTTTATATTAAGAAAAATAACTAAAGTAAAAATGACTTTAGGCAGGATATTCTATATATTCATATCTCGTCACTCAAAAGCCAAATCCCTAAGCATGGGAGGAGAAGCTGAGGCAGAAGGATTGTGAGTTCAAGGCCAGTCCAGGCTATACAGGGAAATCTTGTCTTACAAAAACAAATGAACAAACAAACAAAAAACCCAAGCAGCAACAATAACAACAAAATAATGCTAACACCCCTGGCTTCTGTTATCTCCTAAACAAAATTTAAGTCAGCCTCACAATTAAGAACTTGCTCTCTGCTCCCAGTCTTTCCAGAACCATTTGGAAACACTGCTCCCTAGCAAAGACTAATCCATGTTCTCCCTTCCTTCCTTCCTTCCTTCCTCCCTCCCTCTCTCCCTCCCTCCCTCCCTCTTTCCCTTCCTCCACTTCTTCCTTCCTTTCTCTCTCTCCTCTCTCTCTCTCTCTCTCTCTCTCTCCCTCCCCCCACTTTCCACTTTCTCTCTCTCTGTTTCTATATCAGCACTAAGGTTGAATCCAGGGCCTCCCATATGTTGGGCAAGCACTCTGTCATTGAGTTATATCTCTAGCCCTTTTTTTCCTTTTTTTCCTATTTTGATTTTAGGACAGCATCTCATTAAGTTGCCTAGCTTGGCCTTGAAGTCAGTCCGTAGCCCAGGCTGGCCTTAAACTTGTGATCCTCCTGCCTCAGCGTCCTGGGTGCTAAGATTACAGGTTTGTGCCACCAGGCCCAACTATGCACTGTTTCTTGAACCATGAGCTGTGTCTTCTGTAGATCCTTCAGCTTAGGTCACTTCTTGCTTACTTCACAAATTTAACGTGCTGTCTTCTAAAGCCATGTTTCTATGCCTATTTGAAGTCCTTCATGAAGCAGTTCTCTTTCCTTCAAACCTATAGCATTTTGCCTCATCTTTACCATTTCTGTTCTGTGATCAGGATTTACATATGGTGACTTCTGTCTTCCCACCAGACCATAAACTCCTGAGGATAAGATCATGTCTGATGCATGTCTAATTTTCCCTGTGGTCTAGCATTTGCTGTGTGCACAGTGGATGGTCAGTAAGGAGCTGGAGAGCAACAAATGATACCACATTGTCTCAGATACCCTGACTATCCATCTTCCACTTTGTTCTCAAACAGGGCCAGTCTGACTTTTGTGAGAGGCAGAGTACAGGTGCAGTTAAAAAGTTTCTTTATGTTATTCACATAGTGGTCACATTTCCACTTCAGATGTGACCTTTGAGTAGCAGCATCAGGAATTGTTACCCAATTCAGTAGATGAACAAAAACTGTAAACCTTCTGATGGTGATGAGGATCAAAGTGGAGTGTGTCGGCTCCAAACGCCATGGTTCCTCACCATCTCTTTCATTGTGTTTAAATTGTAATGACAGGTACCTAACCCCTTTAACTGTGCTTGAATATGCACCACAATTTTAAAAATCCTTAGGAAGACATCTTGAAGAATACACCAATGTTCCAAGTCTTTAGTTTTCCATGTTTCCAGGAAGCATTTGTTTAGCAAGTATTTTGTACCACAAAACAGCACTTTTCAGAAAGAGAAGAGTCAGAGTGAAGAGGCCTCTAAGCGGTGCATACAATCTCACCCCGCTATCCTAGGGATATGTTATCAAATGCACGTATATTCGACTTCCGGTTCATTGCTAAGGGAACCTTGTTATCTAAATCCTACCTCTTATTTAGAGGAAAGCGCACCTGCGGAAGACATAGAGAAGGTTGTAAACCGTGTGCTTGGCATCCACCTTCCAATAACATCACAAAATCTAACCCACGTCCCTGACAAAATACAGAAACTTACGCAACTCTGTGAGGACCACAAGAAAGATGAAGGGAGGCTAAAAAAGGCAGCAGATGAAGCCCACAAGCTTCTGGAGAAGGCCAAAGCTGCTGAGTAAGTACGATGTTAATATTCTCACCTTGCACTAACTGATCATCTGCTAAAAGGCCAGCTGAAGGAATGTTTGCCCCAGGAGCTATAATCTGCAAATGAAATTATACTGCAATAGCTTCTGTCTAAATGGAAGGCTGAGCTCTCTTTAGGGGCAGCTGGGAAACAGAGTGCAGATATGTTTGCTGTCTGTTTCCCTCAGACTCTATATGCCTTCCCAGTGTTCTGAAACTTCAGAATACCACTGTATGCCAGTAAATGCTAGGTACGAATCATATGCCAAAATTGGTGATTGGAATATGGCATAGTATTCCATTTTTGACCTGTTTGTATATATGTGCACTAGTGTATGTGTGCAGATACACACATGCTATGGCATGCATGGAGATCAGAGGACAACCTGAGGTGTTAGGCTTTACCTGCCACCTTGTTTGAAGCAGGGTCTCTTTGTTTTTGCAGCTGCATATGCCAAGCTGATTGTTCAAGAGCTTCCGGGGATTCTCTTGACTCTGCTTCCCATCTCCCCATAGAAGCACTGGGATTAGAGACACACACTACTGCACTGGGCTTTATGTGGATTCTGGGGATTCAGACTCAGGTCCTCACACTTTCATGGAGAGCATTTTACCACTAAGCCATCTCTCCAGCCTCTTTTGACCTATTTTTGATACTTTCTAAGTTTATTATAATAAGCACTACTTTGAAATCTATATTTTAAAAGACTGTAGTAAAAACCTACGATGGCAAATACTTTGAGTTTTCATATGCAAAACCTAGATTTAAAATGATATGTGTGTATATTTGTACATGTGTGCGAAGGTCATGAAACTAGGAAGGGAATCATGAGATGGAGGAAAGAGATCTTAAGAAGGGGAAGGAAGTATCAGCAGTAATAGAGTATGTCTGTGTGTGTGTGTGTGTGTGTGTGTGTGTGAGAGAGAGAGAGAGAGAGAGAGAGAGAGAGAGGCAGAAGAGGGGATGAGGGCACTATCTGGGAAAAGGAGGGGAACCAACCAGAGGGGAGTACAGGGAGGGAAGGCCTGGGGGCAGGAGGGATTCCATAATGAAACCCATACCATGGAAACTAACCTTAAGACTGGGGCTGGAGAGATGGCTCAGTGGTTAAGAACACTGACTGCTCTTGCAAAGGACCTGGGTTCAATTCCCAGTACCCACATGGCAAGTAACAACAATCATCAGTAACTCCAATTTCAGGGGATCTGACACCCTCCTCTGTCCTCCTCAGGCACTACATGACACAGATGGACTTACATACATGCAGGCATAACACTTATACACATAAAATAAAAACAAATAAATCAAAAAAGATAATTTAAAGCAATTTTTAAAACAATGATGGAGAAGAAATGGACACTAGGAAGAAGGTACACATGGTAGGCAGAGCACGCTCACCCCCGTCTCTTCCACTGTGTTGATGTAGCCAAACACAGCAAAGACATCTTGACGTTCTGATGAGCTTGGGGTGCTGTGAGTCTGGGTCTTATTGCTAGGAGGATGGTGGTGACATCAATATTGCCTACTGTTTTTGGATATTAAGCAGACCTGAGACCTGTTTCACACTGAGCCACAATGCCTGCCTCATCACCACTGCACAAACACAGTGTGCCAGATCAGATGCCCCTGACAGTCCATCCCCCTCCAATGTCAACCTTTAAAGCCAGGAAGATTACCTAAGCAGTGAAAATACATAGATATCAGTCATTAGTTGCTGGAAGATGCTTTAGTAACATGCAAAGGTATAGATAGTAAAAATTAATATTTTTAAGAGTAGGCAACAGAATCTACCTGAAAGAGGAGGTCCATCATGAAAGGAAAATAATGTCAGGACAAAATGGTCAAAAATCTTAAAAGGTGGTAGGAGTACTAGTAATCTTTTTTCCCTTATATTTTTGGGGTAGTTTTAAATTTTTCTATAATAATCAGTACATTGAAAATCTAAAGATGTTCTCTCTCTATGTTCTCTCTCTCTCTCTCTCTCTCCCCCCCCTGCCCCCGTGTGTGTGTGTGTGTGTGTGTGTGTGTGTGTGTGTGTGAAAATTAGGAGCAATGAACACTGGTGTCTCAGAAATGTTACAGAAGGGAAATCGTGTGAGAAGGACGTTATGCTGGGAGGAGGGAGGATTCCTGAAGTTTAGAAAGTGAAAATGATGACAACTGAGAGTAGAGGGCAGGTTGGGTGGCCAGGAGATATTTTAGAACTCAGAAAAGTATGTTCTGGGCCCAAATACTTGTAATGATGCTCTGTAAAGGTCTGCCTAATGTTCTATTTGCCTGGTATGGTCTGCTCAAGGTTGCTATGAGACCCCAGATCTAAGTATCTGGTGAAAGCTGGCTTGAGGTGAGCTCCTTTCTGAGAAATGGTCTGTATCACTTGGAATGCTTGTAATTTTTAACCTCTGACTGGGCCCTGAGCTGGAATTAAAAGGCAAAGTTTAAATAACCTGAGTAAGTCTATCTGGTCCTGGGCTTTTTTTAGTCGGGAGGTTTTGTATTACTGTTTCAATTTCTTTTTGTGTTATGGGTCTGTTTAAGCTGTTAATCTCTTCTTGGTTTAGTTTTGGTGGTTCCCATGCCTTTATATATCTGTCCATTTCTTTTAGGTTTTCAAATTTAGTAGCATATAGGTTTTTAAAGTATTCCCTTATAATGTTCTGTATCTTTCTGGTGTCTGTTGTGATGTTTCCCCTTTCATCTCTGATTTTGTTGATTTGGAGGTGCTCTTTCTTTCTTTTGGTTAACTGGGCTAGTGGTCTGTCAGTCTTGTTTATCTTTTCAAAGAACCAGCTCTTGGAATTGTTGATTCTTTGTATTGTTTTCAAGATTTATCTACCTGACACACAGCAATAATTAAAAACACCACACTGGTGGAACTAACCTTCCTGGGTGTTTAACAGACATACTTTGAGGTCTATAATAATTTGGACATAAAGGGCACTTTTTGCTCCTTGCCCTCCTAGGTCGACTAGGTCCAGGGGACTATGAGCATCTCTCAAAATGTCCTGTAATTGTGGGGAGTCACCTGTCCTCTTGATCAAAGCGGCCTAGGAGACCCCACCAGATGGACTTGAACCAGTGTCCAGTCTACAAA